ATGAAAATACAAAAAAAAAAACGAACACGGGGGGTGAAAGGGGGGTTTTCTTCTCCCCCCCCCCCCCCCCCCCCCCGGGTTTGCCTAAGTGTCCTGAACCTCTCTCAATTTGTCCTTTTGAATTTTTATGAAAGCTTGATTACATAGGCAAGGTTGATTATGTCTTTGGCCTTTGGTGATCAACTTAACCTTCAGTTACCCTCCCCACTCCAGAGGTTGAAAGTGCCAACTCTTTAATCACACCTTGGTCTTTCCAGTGACTAGCCCCCCTTCTGAAGCTACCTGGGGCCTGTCAGCCATCAGTTCAGTTTATTAGTATAGAAAACCTGCTATCACTTTGGACATCCCAAGGATTTTGGGAGTTATATGGAGAAATAGACAAGACCAAATATGTGATTCACACTTACACTTTAAAGACTAATAATTGAAAAGTGCTTAAGAATATTTTTACTGCTATTTCCAAATTTGTTGGTTTGAGAAAATTCTATATAAATTCTTTATGGGCAACTGGCCAAATTGGGATGATGGAGCTAGAGGTACTTCACTCTTTCAGTTATTTATTTATGTATTTAAATAAGGAAGTACACTATATTTATAAATAAATAAATCTGCATTTACTACTTATAAATGTTAGATTTGTGAAAGAGGGTACATAAGAAGTTGGGAAAGATGGGCAGGATAGTTGACTAGTAGATTCTCTTCATTTTCCTTTTGGAAGAAATGTTGTAATGTCTGGAATACTAGAGAAGGCAGTTGGTGGATATGTTGGAAAAATGTTTTTTCTTTACCAATAGTAAAAAGATGACTTAGGATTTTATCTGAAGAGTTTGATGATTGAGGCAGCAGTGCTTTTAACCAGCAAATTACCTGGGTTTCTTGGGTTTGTTTTATTCACATGTATGACTTTGTGTATTTGAAATGAAACTTTGTTTTATGTTTCTGTTTTGAAGATAATAGTCTAGGTAATTTTTGCAGAATTTCTACATTAGTTTACTTATAAGTTCACGTTTAAAGTGGATGTTTTAGAGGTTCACTACTTTTGTAAGATAGCTTACCTTTCTTTAAAAGTGTTAGCAGCTTAAATCAGCTTGCCAATATTTGTGGCATTATTCTCACTGACTTTGCTGCATAATTTACCACTATCTTGGTGGACATTAAACATTTCTCATTTAAAATTATAGCAGGCGCATGCAGTTGAAGATTCATAATCTGTGTATTTTGTGTATTTAACAAAAAGGCATCTTGACTCTAAGTAAGGTTATGTTCAGAGAACATTGCATTGAAAATATTAATAGGTTTTGGTAATGCTGTGGTAAGTGTTCTAATGCAATGGAATAAAAATACCCAAAGAGAACTTATTCCATAGGGTATTCTACTAACTTGAAAAAACCTCTTAGTTCATTCATTCACTACTTGGTTCTGAGTAATATTCTCAAATAATAATGTGTTGATTGGAGGGGTGAGAAGTATAAGGCCAGCCAAGGGATCATGTTGGGAAACTTTTTGGGATTGATTGAATCCTCTTGAAATTAAGTCATCCAGATACTCTTTTAAAATGTTAACTTTATGAGCTCTAGATCATATAAAAGGAAGCAAAATTTGGGCACTGAAAGTACTGTCAAGTAAATATTTTTTTGCATATTATAATTGTATTTAAATTAAAACCACCAGTACAGCATAAATAGATCTACATGACAGTGGAGTGTATTTTGACATATTAAACATATAACATACATGAAGTATAACTTTTAATTAGTATCCCATTTTTGGAGTTGTTTATGATGTGGAGTTTCATTGGTGTTGTATTCATATATGAACATAGGAAAGTTAGATTCTATTCATTTTACTGTTTTATTCTCATCCCCCCTCAATTCCCTTCATTCCCCACCCCACTTCCCTTCATTCCCCATTATCTAATCCAGTGAACTTCTGTTCCCACCCTGCTCCCTCATTACCAGATTGACTGGTATTTATTTAAGTGTTTGTTGATCTTCTCAAAATTTTAAGTTTTTAATAATTTGCCAGATAAAGCATTACTTTAATTAAAAAAGAAGAAAAGGGAAATTGTTTTTCAAATGCTCAGAATCCTTTTCTTTCTGATCTGATAGTTTCTCCCAAATCTCATAACCATAATGAAATTGTTGAGTCCTAGAATGAGTAGTTATTTCTGCTGTAACAAGTTATGTTCTTGTTAAGCAGCTTGTCTATATTTTATTCTGTTTCCATAGGTATAGTAGGCCAAATATATATAGTTTAGGCAGCCATGATGAAAATATTTTGTACAGGAGACTGTGGAATGAGTTGTTTTAAAATAAATTACAAGTGGATGTAATTTCTGAAAATCGAGTCCTCCACCAAGATTTAAAGTTGTGTTTTTTGCTCCCCTACCTCCTAAAGGAAAAATTGTGATCTCTAACTATGATCTCTTGTAAATTCTTGGCACATGCTAGCAGTAGTAGAATGATTGATTTTTTTTTTTTTTAATGTGTTGAATTTTTGGCAAATTGTGTGTTTGTCATTGTATTGCACTTGGCAATAAACTATATATTGCTAACCGAGACAGGTTAGAGAAAATCTTTCCCTTTTTTGGTTAATTTTTTTGTTAACTGATTTTATGTTAGCTTTTAAAATCTTATGCTTTTGTTTAACTTTTTTGAAAAATATTCTCAAAATATTTCATGCATCTGTTTTGGTAGAGTGTACATACAACTGCTTTGAAAATTCTGTACTATCTTGGGTTTATTAGAAATTAAATCATTCTTAACTGACATTCTGTGGAAGGTGTAGGAAATACCTTAATGTTTAATTATTAAGTTAGAAGTGATATCCTTGTTGAGTGTGTTTGAATGTGTGCTTGTTTTCTTCACTTTAGCCCTACCCCCCCAACCCCCGCCCTTTTTCTCTTATTTTGTTCTCAGTCCTTGGAGCCATTTCTGATTTTGCTAAACTTGTTTTTCATTTTATGGGTCCTGTGCTTATAAATTTCCATAATAAGTACCTCCTGTCAAAACAATTAGCAATGGACTACATTATAAACCCCCTACCACCACCGTGTGTGTGTTTGTGTGTGTGTGTGTGTGTGTGTGTGTGTGTGTGTGTGTGTTACTGGGGATCTAACCTAGGGTGAGGCAAGCACTATACATCCCTGTCCTGGTGCGCTTTATTTTTTTCCCCTTTGAACTGTTACTATAGATTGAAGCTTATCTTGAAGGTTGCTATAAAAATAATTCAGTAAAACATTGTGACTATTGAAATATTGTTGAAGATGATGTTCTTCACAGTGCTTCCCCTCACTCCCCCCCCCCCCCCCTCCACCGCCCCCCCTCCACCGCCCCCCCTCCTCCCTGTTTTTGATGCTGGGATAGAACCTGTGGTGCTTCATACTGGCTCACATCTCCAGCCATTTTTTTGTTTAAGAGTTTAAGATTTTGAGACAAGGTTTTGCTAAGTTGCTCAGGACCTTGCTAAATTTCTGAGTCTGGCCTTGGACTTGTGATCCTCCTGCCCCAGCCTCCCAAGTTGCTGAAATTACAGCTGCGTACCAACATGCCTGGCTACACAGTGCTTTGTTTTTAAGGATTACAGGGGAAAAAGATAAACAACCAAGAATAAATGTTTCCCCCCCACCTACGCTTTTAGTCTGTTTATGTTACCTAGATGCTATAATTTGTGTTCTGTAGATTTCTTGTTTTTCTGTTGGATTTGGAAGTTTAGAACCAAGCTTGTCAGTTTCTTTGTTGTACCATTTTAAAAGCCTCATTCTTGGATTCATTTTGTTTCCCTATTCATAAATATTTTCATGCTTTAATTTCTGGCTTTATTTATGCTGATCTTTTTTTTTTTTT